CCCTGCTACGCAGAGAACTGTATTTTTTCATAGAGAGTAAAATCACCTAGTATAGGTGACTCAACCCAGAGTGGATTCCCAAAATCTCAGGATTAAATCGGATTGCATGGCCTGTTCTGATTTTCATTCTCAGGTGTCCATGTGTTAAGACTATTTGAATTTGTTTATGAAAAAATATCTTTAACCTCAATAGCTGTGAAGATGTTTCATATACAGATGCTCAGGTTTTCCTTTTTGCTGAAACTAGATATGCTTTTTTTTCAAATATTCACGTATTTTAAAATGATTTTTTATAAAAAATGATTTAGCAAGCATGTAATAAGTTAAAAATAAACAAAACTCTGGATAACCAAAAAAAAAAAAGAAATTATGTGATATTTCAGATTGCACCAATTGTAAGCAGCTTAGAACAATAGTCGGAATAGTTACTTTACTTTTCAGTGGTTGCAGAAAGTAACAAAAACTTCCTTGCAGAGTGGATTTTTGTTTGGCTTTTTAAAGCTTTTAGTTGAATTGAACCTTCCCCTTTTAAGAGTTACTCAAAGAGAGAAAAGTGCTCTTGGTCTGTGTAATTCAGTCAGGCATTAGGGCACAATGTACAATGTGCAGTTAGGGCATGACCAAGCTACAAGAAGAAGCTAAATTCTTTGTGACACACTTTGAGTTTGTTTTTTTAGTTAAATCTACCTTGAATTCTCCTGGGTATTAAGCAAGCACCATGCATTCACATTTTGATCCCAGAAATACACTTGGGTAGTGAGCAAGTAGAGTGGTAAAATTGGAAGTTCATAACACTGTACCTTAAAGATAAATACAAGAAGAAACAGACCTTTTTTTGGAAAGGAAAAGCCATTGAGTATGGTTGAGTTGCTTTAACTAAGTGCTATTCTGTTTCTGAATATCTGAAAAACAAAATCACACACCTGCTTTTGAGTAAAATCCTTTTCTCGTAGGTGTTCCATTAGATGTCTACAGTTAAGCGTGTTTCCAAGAGTATATTTTACAGACCCTCTTTTCATTTTGACATAGAGAGGCCCAGTAGGCAGTTTAGGTATTACCTGTGTGCTTAGCCACTGCAGCCCTGGAAGCCTGCTGAAGTAGGCTTTTGGACACCATATTCAGCAAAACTGTTGATTGCCCTTTTTATTTCTTTCCTTTTCATTTTTTTCTCCCACCTTCTGAAACACATCTTGTTCTTTCTGCTTTCTTCCCAGAAGTCATCCATCTGACACCACAACTGAGTACCATAGAGTGAATTTAATGGAAAACGTAATATAATTCCCCATGGGATAAGCTCTATCAAGTGCTCTAGCGTCAGAATAATACAAACAGTTTTATAGAAAGCCCTTCTCTATTTAAATAACGTATCCTGCCATTGAAGGACCTTAAAGATGAACTTGGAAATAAGACAATTTTTTTTTCTTCTTTATGATAGTGATTTTCTAAAACTTCCCTTGCTCATACATTTGAACTAACAGTACTTTTCCATGTCCCACTCCCTTCTCTCTGTAGGAGGACCTTTAGAAAGTCTAGTGGAGCATTGGGTAAGTGACATAATGAAAGGGAGTAACTGGAAGTTACAAAGCAGGAAGAGCCTTTCTGCTTCGAAACCTGCAGATACTGTTAACATTTGACTGCCAGTAGTATGATTTGGACTAGATGCCCACGGAGTTGCAAAAACTGTTCTGGTCTTTGACCTGCAAATAGGCAGGGAACATAAGGGAAGGAGAAGACAAGGAAAGAAACCTGATTTAGATATATCTATATTGCAGTTTTTTCCATGAAGCTACTCTGGTTTGATGCGGCTTCTGAATCATCTTCAGTTTTAGGCCGTTCTTAATAGCCTGCGTATCCCTTGTAGTAAAGAGGAACTATTAAGTCGTTGCCCAAGCAAACTTTTTCTTGTGGTATCCCATTATAAGACACACATACTAGTTCTTTTAAGCATATCTTGTTACTGATGCTTATATTGTTCATATTAAAATGAAGTGCCGGTATTATTTGAAGTAGCTTTTCTGATTTTCCCTCATTCCTCTTAACTTCTAGATGACTAGCTGGATTTAGGAGTAGTAGAGGGTTAATACTAACACTCATTTGAGGTATTTCCTGATGTCTGTGCCAAGGAGCATGCTTGCTTGATAGTTTGGTGAGGAGCCAAGGGATCATGGGTTATGAGTTTCATTTCCTTGTGATCACAGAACTCTGCATGGTATATGAAATAGCAGTGAGGAAAGCCTGAAGGCTGGACTTGAGCACTAGTTTGTGAGCAGATTGGGCTTCAGAGGAAACGAGTGTTCTTAACTCAGCAAAGCGTTAATTGTGAACTGGTTTTGGCAGCCTGTCCCTTTACATTGCTTTGTAATGAAGTGAATGGAATTTGTGGGGGCAGGATGTCTTTGGTTGGTGGCTGGCACTTGTATCTAAACTGAGGTATGGCTCATGTCTTACATCGGTGCAGCTGGCTAGAATAGGATTCTTCTAGCCCTGAATGTTCTCAGAAGGGTGTCCAGAAATTGAAATCCAGCTGTTTACAGTTTGAACCTTTAATTAAGATGTAACTTTTAAAACTTTTTAAAAGGAACTCAGCCTTCTGCTGAACAGCATAAAAAGATTGTTTTGAAGCGATTATTGCTGTGCAAGCAATTGTTTTCTAAGGGATCCTGTCAAACTATTCATGTGTACAATAAATTGTACTCAATTTTTTCATATTAGAGTTAAACTTAGTATTTGATTTTAATATTTTCTCTTGTTAATTTTTTTCACTTACCTCAGGTTGGCCTGTTGATTCTGAGCATTCAGAATGTATTCCTTTTCCAGGTTGTCTTCTCCCTATCCTTCCCCTACAAAAATGCAGAATTCTGTTTATTTCCCTCTTTTCCTCTTGTGCCTTACAAGGCCTTTTTTTTGGAATTTGGAATCCTTATTTTATAATCTAAAAATATTTAGTAATGTTATTGTTAGTATGAGCACAAAAATTTACTGTCAGCTTCTTAAAAAATAGTGTGGGTCATCTCTGGGTATTACACTTTTAACATTTTGTATCCATTTTCTATTATTACCATAGTTTTAATTTTTGCAGTATAGAGAGCTGGCTAGGTTCAGGAATGAATGCACAAATACAGTTTTATTTTTCCCCCATGTACTTCTCAAGCCTGAAGAAATCCAGATAGAAAAGCGAAGATCCTGGCCCAAACTTCATCCCAACCTGGAATTCTTCCAAACTTTGTAGTGGAAACAGGTTACAAGTTATTTAAAATACACTTTCATAATAAGACAGACTATATTTCATTGGGCAGGCTAGATCATGCCTTCCTTGAGCAAATAGTTGCTAATAGGTAGAGACTGCTGAGAAAGTAGGGTGAGTGGTAGCTAGGCACATGCTGCATTACCACTATGTCAAAATCTATTTCCTACTAAAAAGTACCATTGGAAACATCTGCTTCCTTTCCCTGTTTATCACCCATTACTATCTTCTAGTATTTCAGTCTCTAAGAGTAGACCTGGTTAAAGATGCTGAGGGTGATGTGGAAATGACAAAAAGGCATTTCTAGGGGCATGCCACTAATGTTTTTTCAATGGAAGATCTAAATTCAGATGTATAATTAATGCTGTAATTATTACAATTACGTATTTTATTAGCTTAGAAAATAACTTAATGTGTTGATATTTAAATAAGCACTTTTATTTGCTTAATCCTTATTCATTAATTCAGATTTTAAGATGGGTCTTGATTTTCTTTAGAATATCTACCTGACGACTGAGTGTAAATAGAGGGTAACTTTTCAGATTCAGCTGAGGAACGCAGAAGAAGAATTAAGTGGTTCATTGCGGTGCTTGGAAGAAAATGTCACACTAAAAAGCCTGAAACCAAGCCTTCTGTTAATGAGAAGTTTCTCTTTTTCGTTTTTTAAGTTGGCATAAGCAAATATCCAGTAATTGCTGAGATACTGTGCAATATAATAAAACAACACTTTTTTTTTCTTTAAAGCCCTCTACTTTCCTTTGTACCAGTCAAATGTACTAGTTTATCAGGTGACCTAGCAGATTTTTCTTAGTTTTGGAAGAAGAGTATCTGCTCGCGTTTGGTGATTGAGGTTTTGGTTCTTTTTTTTTTTTTTTTTTTTTTTTTTTTTTTTTTTTTTTTTTTTTTCATTTGCGTGTTTTTAATAACAAAGGAGATGATATGCTCAAGCTTGTCATTCAAGAGCAGCCTGTTTAAACTAAATGTAGTTATAAAATACGTATTGCACTTCTGAGCAAACTTTTTTTAATGATATTTTGGAAACAGTCAGAAACAACTGTTATAACGTAGATGCGTGTGCATGAAAATACTTTCCAGCAACACTGTAATGGACTGCTGCAGAAATGGACTTTTTCTCCTGGAATTGTTGAATTTTGGGGAGCAGCAATGCTGTGTAACACTCCCTCAGTAGTTAGAACCTCTGTCTCCCACACTCCCATTCATTACAGCTTAAAAATATATTATGTACCCCACTTCTAAGAGAGTTTAAAATATTGGAGCTTTGAGTATTTATTATTTAGTCCCTTTTACCTAGACATTTGGGTAAATTGGGACTGCTGCTACCAGGATGGAGGTAAGAGGCTGGGATTTGTTTTATAATGCTATGTTTCAAAATTCTTTAGAGCCACGTAATTGACTTCTCTGGGCTTTGGATCAGACTACTTCAAATTAAGGACAAAACACTTAATTGACTTGCAGAGTCAGATTTCCAAAGTAGGTTTCTCCAAGCTGCTCCTTTGTTACTAGATGAAGGGATTTGCATTTGGAGGCAAGCCCGAGTACTTCAGGTATCTCTAATGACAATAAATAAGCATTGAAATAAAAGTGAAAAATGAAATAAATTATAAAATGAAAATGAAATAGAAATGGATTCACCTGATGAATTGACTGCGGCAAGCAATTTATTGAATAGCGATATGATTGTGAATAATTGTGATATGTTTTGTTCAACATACTCAAGTCTTATTTTTACTTTCAGGGAGAAAGACCTGAATGCAAAGTTTATTATTTCAATGGAAAAAAATAAAACAACAATCACAAACTTAAAGGTGAGTAAGCACAATTTAAAAAAGGAAATTCTAACCAAATAGCTGCCACAACATGACTGGACAAAACAGTGGTGCTCACTACAGTATACTGGGGGGAACAGCCCTTAGTTTCTGAAATACTTAAACATTATTGAAGTAATTCTTTGGGAAAACAGGTTAAACTGTTACTAGTTGTACCACAGTTTTCTGAAAACCATTCTACAGATGGTATCGCATAGGTTTTTTTTAAAGTATATGTTATTCTGGTCGTTACTTAGATGGAAGGTGAAAACGAACAATAGAAGAGAGGTATATGCCCAATAGCTATTAAACCTTCAGTTCGTCCGTAAAAGCAGTCTCCTGGCATTCCCATGAAAATGAACTAAACCCAAAGTACCCACCGCTTGCTATACTATTTGATGATATAATTTAACATTTCTCTCACCAAGAGAACTCATGCTCAACAAGTAGATACTTGCAAGATAGTTGCCAATGGGAAATATATAAAAAGGAATATCAGTACATAGTTGGTCTAGACTGATTCAGATAGCAGTGTATATCGCTAAGGCATGTTGCTTACTGTCCTGTCTTGAGCATGATGGTAACCTTAAGCAGCAGGCCCATTTTAATTAACACTTGGCACTGAAATGGTATTCACAGTGCAGAGGTCTCTCTGGCTCGTATTGATTATACGTGCAGGATAATCCCTTATTATAAGCTGAATTTCATACGCAGGACTGACTTAACTAAACATAAGTATTGTGACAAAAATGCACTGTTGTGTTAGGATAAGTAAGCTAAAATTCAAAGAAAAAGTCATGCTGTGCTCTCCTTAGTGTGACTATGCCTTAATTCTGAAGGGTGTCTCTACTGCTAATTTTTTCACTCTTTTTGGAGCAGTAGGCTAACCTATCATTGCAGTTTTCTTACTGTGTGTAGTCTTATGTTAATTTTTTTTTTTGAATATTCTAAAATGTTTTTAAGTACCTCATTAGCATATATTGTACTAGCCCTTTTTTCTTTTTTTTTCCTTTTTATAGATACCAGAGGGTGGAACTGGAGACACAGGAAGAGAAAGAACAAAGACATTTACCTATGATTTTTCATATTTCTCAGCAGATAGTAAAAGTCCCAGCTTTGTGTGCCAAGAAACGGTAGGATTTCTAAATGTTAATAATTGATCTTTTCTGCCCCTTTTCTTTGGCCTGAAAGCATTCTTTGAAACATCTTTCCATTTGAAGTACAGTGTAATTTAGAAATTCCCTAGGTACCTGAGAGTTTGAATTTTGTTTTGATTTTCTTTTTTTAACTTACCTAACACTGTTAAGTGCTGATTTTTCTCACACAGCAGACTAAATGCCCTTTTTCTGGTTCTCTTGTCTGACTCATCTTGTCTCGTGAGGTCAAGTTAGAAAATTTCTCTGAGCTATTTTGTGGGAGGAGGAACTAGATTTGGTTTTGAAAAGATTTTTTAAAAAATCACTTTTGAGAAACAAGTATACATCCTTAATTCATGTAGATGGGAACATTCTTCTTATGTAGTTGAAGTCTTTTTAGGGGTGAAAGGCTTAGACATTAATGAACCTGCTCAAAGGAGGTTCTTCTCTCGAGTACTCTTTCTTGGCTTAAGAAGGATAAAACTGCCATTCTTCCTACACACTCAGTAGAAAACATGATGATGTGAACTCTTTAAGTTCTAGGTTGGTAACCCCTTATACAAGCTTAAGGATGTGAGGAGAGTATCTTTCTTTTTCAAAAAAAATATTTTTTTCTGACCACAGCCTACATGCACATTATTTCTGATGCACCAATGTCTCTGCATAGCTATAAATCTAACTTTGAAATATAGGCTTTGTTTAGATGAAGAGATAGGCCCTCCCTGACCTTGCAGTTCGTATGAACGTTGGACCCTTTTGCTTTTTTCACACTCTGAAATGAAGTTATCTAATAAAATTCAAGTGTTTAACTATTCTTATCTTCTCTTTTGGCTTTGTGGACCTTAGGATACTATAATTAAGTATGCACTTCTTTCCTCTTAAAATAATGCAAGGGTTTGCTGAATATACCGTAAGCCAATTGGCTGCATACCTTTTTGGTACGTACCTCATCTATACTGTAGTCCCAGAATTCAGGGACATTGGTTTGTCTAATCCTGAAAAGCCTGGGAATTAAAACTAATAAGAATAAAAAATAAGAATAAAAACTCAGTCTTCACTGCTAAGGCCAGTCCTGAGGAATTCCAGACCTTGGAGATGAGAGGAAGGCTGGAGAAAGGAAGACTCTCCCTTGGT